AACAGCAGCAGCAGGAACAACAGCAGCAGCAGCAGCAGGAACAACAACAGCAGCAGCAGGAACAACAACAACAGCAGCAGCAGCAGCAGGAACAACAACAACAGCAGCAGCAGCAGCAACAACAGCAGCAATAGCAGCAGGAACAACAGCAGCAGCAGCAGCAGCAGGAACAACAGCAGCAGCAGGAACAACAACAGCAGCAGCAGGAACAATAGCAGCAGCAGGAACAACAACAGCAGCAGCAGGAACAGCAGGAACAATAGCACCAGGAACAACAACAGCAGCAGCATCAGCAGGAACAACAACAACAGCAGCAGCAGCAGGAACAATAGCAGCAGGAACAACAACAGCAGCAGCAGGAACAATAGCAGCAGGAACAACAACAGCAGCAGCAGCAGCAGGAACAACAACAGCAGCAGCAGCAGCAGGAACAACAGCAGCAGCAGGAACAGCAGCAGCATCAGCAGGAACAACAACAACAGCAGGAACAACAGCAGCAGCAGCAGCATCAGCAGGAACAACAGCAACAGCAGCAGCAGCAGGAACAACAGCAACAGCAGGAACAACAGCAGCAGCAGGAACAGCAGGAACAACAGCAGCAGCAGCAGGGCGGTACAGCGGCACCAACAAGGGAGTCAGCATCCCCCATAAAGACGCCTCAAGCCATCCTCGTCCAAGCCGCCGCCGCCGTCATCAAAGGCTTCAGCGCCTCTTTAATTACTCGGCGTACATAATTTTTTGGGGGCTCGAATATAAATTTATCTAATTATATGTTTTGATCTAGTGCAGTGTCATACCTAGGTTAGGTTCGGGTTCCCTTTTTCAATTATAAGAATTTAGAGTATGTGGGGAAAGCATTGAGAGAGCCAATAGGCTTTCTGCGGTTACTTTAATATTTAAGTGCATTTCGAACCCTGGAATGTATTGGTCTCCAATTGCATGATAAGTCTGATATGTTAGTCAAAGCTTGAGCTGTTACGCGGGAGTTGATTACCATCTTGGATTGCTATTGAGCAGCCTGAGAGCAGTTATATACCGCCATACCGTTATACTATAACGGTATAACATATACCGTTATAGACTGTGGAGACATGATGACGACTTGCATGATACTCGGAGGAATTGACAAGGCCGACAAACTGACACGATAAACTATATGTTTAGTGAACCATATTGACGGGTATTATATATAATTTAGTCAGTAACAAAGTAGTGTAGAAGCGGATGGACAGAGGTAGAGAAGTGCCGGAAACAATAAGCATATTCTGAAGATATTAAAGAGTTCAAAGTGTCAGGAAACTTGCATACCAGTCGACTGGACGTTGAGAAGCCGGGCCCGAGAGCTGAAACTCACTGACCGCAAGCAGAGCTAGGTAACTCGCTAGGCGAACATGTTGTGTACCCCACAGAGGGAGATCAGTCTCCCAACGTCACCTAGACTATTTGGCTGTAATGGTGGGGAGGAGGCTGGGGGGGCGGGGTTGGTGGGGGATTAGGGGGGATGAGAGAGGGAGGGAGATGTTCCCCTAGTGTGCCCCTGGAGAGAAGCAGCAAAGCTTACTTCTTGGAGAAGCTTGCAAAGCTTGCAAAGGTCCTTCTTGGAGACCGTCCACATTCACCACCCAAGCTTATTGTGAAGACCTCCTGGAACCTCTTGTTGAGTTCTTCACACATCTCTTTGTCATTCTCTGTATACCTGTCTAAAAACAAATAACATTTTATTTAAAGTCATATAAGAAATCATCAATAAAAGGCAAAATAATTAAAACAAAAAAATGCATTGCACTGTTAGCCGAGAAGGGAGGACTAATTGGGAGGACAAGCGTTGTGTCTCCAGGAGGAGCTACGCCTCTTACTCCGTCATCCTCCGATAAGAACGCCTCGTAAAGATTGCGAGGAGCTTTAGCATTGTGAGGAAAGTGGAAATGGCTTCGATTTACGTGGCGTGTCGGCCTCTTTAGACCAGCAAGATCCGGTCACCAGAGTCCCTCGCCACGCTCGAATCCACCTCCACAGCCCCTTCACACAAACACACCTGCACAACGACCATACACACACCTGCACTACACACACACACACACACCTGCACTACCACCACCACACACACACACACACCACAGCAAAACTCAGCAGCATGAAGCCAGGTTAACCTTGCTCTGGTTGTGTAGATGAACGACCCAGCAGCACGCTCTCCGACCAAGCCTTCAAAAGGCTGCTTGAAGGCTTTACAAAGCCTGAGCGTCTCTTCAGTTCCAGCGACTACGTATGAAAATATAAGACAAACGTTTCATCTTAAATATTATCTCTCAGTTGAAGAATAGCACTCCCGTGAACCTTGGAAGGTTTATTTAAATAATTCATATGTAGTTAGCAATTGATTTATTTCACTCATATATTTTTATGTAAAGAAAAGCCAAGTTATTAACCGTATGACTAATACATAATTTATTTTTCATAAATAATTATATAAACAAATTTCTTTACAATGTTTCTTTTTCATTTTGGAGGAGATGATGATGATGGTGATAAGCAGCCTAAATTCAGGTCTTGTGGAGTGTTTACTCTGCTGAAGTGTGACCTTCGCGTTCCTTGCGCTCCCTCTCGGCCTCGGCGAAGGCGATCTGGTCGAGGACGAACTGGGGGATGGGGTGGGGGAACTCCGGGGCCACGGGCAGCAGGTCGGACTCGGGCTGGTAGCCGTTCTCGTCAGCCACGAACTTGAGGAAAGCAATACTACCGTCCTCCAAGGGGTAGCTGTGGGAGAGAGAGGGAGAGTTAGCTCAAGTGTCTCGTCAGGTCTTAAGGTACATATGCATGATACAACATAGAATAATGAGACACGACGCTGGACAACTTCCTGTACTCACCTCCAGTGGCCGATGCTGTTTTCTCCGCCATTCTCGCCCAGATTACCGGACACGTGCATCTTGATGCCGTTCTCGGCCTCGAAGTCGAAGCTGTGAGCGCCGTTCGCGTCTGGGTGATGCTGCTCGATGTGCACAATACCCACGGGCTTCATGTCGGCCAGAGCCCCGGCCACCAGCACAACCACTACCAACGTCTGAAACACACAGACATCCTTGAGTTATCCAAACATGATGAACCGTCGCAAGAACTCACTACTGTGTTTAGCAGTCAACAAATAAAATCTTGCTGCCTTATCTGACCCCAAGATGCCAGTCCCACAAGATATTTACAGTTTACATAGCACATACACCTTGGGATCCTCATGCTGCCGCATTCTATTCGTAATCAAGATGAAGAATTATATGGTTAGTGCTCTTACTTGTGCCTGCATTATTCAAGGCTAGTTTTGTAGCAGTGGATCACCACACCACATAATGTTATTTGGTTATGTTATGCAGGTGATGAGTCACAATAACGTGGCTAATGTTGACCATGAGGTGAAGGGACGACGACGTTTCGGTCCGTCCTGGACTTGAGAATGGTCCAGGACAGACCGAAACGTCGTCGTCCCTTCACCTTCTAGTGTGTGGTCTGGTCAACATTGGTTATGTTAGTTGTCCTTCAGATTGTCTCCTCGTCATGCAAATATTGTGATATATATTGTGTAAATATCTGCCTCGCTACTTTAATGGTGAACTATACATTATTTTACCAATATATCTCACTTTTCATATTATAAGCTAAATGTTATAAAATTTTTGCAAAACAATGTCAATTTGATTTAGACAGCTTTACACCTGTTCACTCCAGCCATTATTGTAACCATTTGTATAAGTTAAGAATATAGCTCTAATTCTAGGTAACGGAGATGCAGAGTAATTCAACTGATTCAAGTCGTTTAAACAAGTGAATTTGGGTTCAATACGCGTCTATTACACTGGGGGTTAAGACAGGTCAACGGAACATGTATGGTGTGTCAGTTCTCTAATCTTTCCTGTGTCTAGCTTCCAACTGTATGTCAATTTTTGTATTATATTCACCTGCTTTCTTATTCCTCTAATTACCTCGTCTCTTTATTTTCTTTCTTGGTCTTTCGTCGGTTTATCTTCAAATTTCCTTTCATTTACCTTTCTTCAGCTCCCTTACTTCTTGCTGGAGTCAGCCAGTTATCTCCTCCACTTCTCTTCTCATACTTTGAGAGCTGTCTCTTAGCTCTTCCGTCTTCCAGTAGCGCCTCCATTCCTTCATATATCTGCTACGTGTCCTTCCTCCTATCTTCATTTCTCTGAGCCTCCTTCTTCTCTATCTATCATATCCTTGTGATGGCCAACTTCCACTCCGTTGTTGGACTTTTCAATCGCTTTCTAGTTCACGAATCCTTATGGACACCTTCATTATTTATCTTAGCCTTCGTTTCAGCATCTGTTTACTTCCCCTTATCTCTTTATTAACACATTCCCATCTTGCTCTCTCGGTCCGTTTCGTATCGTTTGCTACGAAAGTTATAGCGGCTCCTTCTTGCTATCATTTCTCATCCTACACTTTTCTTTCTTTAGGTAGCGCGTCGCTACCCCTTTTTCTCACTCTTTGTCTAATTTTCATGAGCCTTATCTTCCCTCTTGTCTCGTTTCTTATATTATGGTGAGGTGTTTGGTCAGCTACACGCAGTATGTGAAGCACCGGGTGATGGCTGGGGAGCCTCGCTGGCCCGCCTCGCCAACACCGCTGGCCAGCCACCTGAAAACTCTATCTTATGTCCTTTATTTATTGATATTTCGACATGTTATTGCTTGGTGTGTGTGTGTGTGTGTGTGTGTGTGTGTGTGTGTGTGTGTGTGTGTGTGTGTGTGTGTGTGTGTGTGTGTGTGTGTGTGTGTGCGCGTGTGCGTGCGTGCGGTCACCTGAGTGTTCTTGCGTGGGCTGAGCTCCGGCTCTTTCAATCAATTGGTCTACACGTTCTTGAGTCCTCTGACACTGACAACATTCTAATGTTTTTGTTTCTCATTTGAGCACTAAGTTTCCGCCTGTTGCACCCTTGTTGGGGTGCCATTCATGTTGAATAGTCTGTCCTTGTTATCTTTGTCAACTCCCCTCTGACTCTTCAGGCTTCCCTTGCTCTCTGCTGTGAGTGTGTTCACTTACCTGGGATTGCTGGCGGGGATAGAGTTCCAGCTCCTGTGTTCCGCCTCTAAGCAATCATTAGCAAGTCGCAGCTAGTCGGTGGGCCAGAACACTTTAGCACGTCTCTTTATGATGCCACGGAAGGAGTTATCCTCCACTACCACCCTCCATACAACTTATTTACAAGTTGATACGGACCAATTCCTTACGCCTCTCCGGCTCTTTTAAGTTTTCGGTTTCCAATGACGTTTTATCGTTCGATTTTCGTTAAAATTAACTCAGCTAGTGTCTATGTCTCGTTAATGTGTACGTTGGGGACATTACCTTTCAGGGGCGGGATTCATAACGTATTTACCCATCTACTTACGAAACCTATATATCTTTCAACAATCATGGCGAGTTTGTTTACATATATTAAACAGCTAAGGAGCTTGGCACTTCACAACTCAAGGTTATTATTGTTACAAATAGCCTCGTAATGTCTCTGAGCTCATAAACCGCTTAATAGATGTAAACAAAGCCGCAATGATACAAGAAAGATGTAAAGGTTTCTCAAGTGGTTGAGTAAATGCTTTAAGAATTCTGGCCCCCTGGTTCTTCTCCAGTGGTGTAATGTTCGGTTCTATCAGCCTCTGACAGCTCGCCTCCTTATCTCGGGCACTTGACCTCGTAAATCTCTGAACTTTCTTAAATTCCTTTTTGTGCTTTAAAAGGACCGGTATCCATGCTAGGGCTCGTTGGTTCAGGTTCCCGCCTCACGTAGGCTCTGCAGAGGGCTCTGAGGGAGCCTTTATTTAGCCTTCTAAATGTTTATAATATGACCTTTATATGTAAAATGATTAAATATATTATCGTATTTGGGGTTTTTTGATGGTTGTCTTATTGGCCCTGAGAGTTACTTCAGGTATCCCGCCTGTGCTTGTGGTACTTTAAGTTCACTTGTGATTGCGAGAAATCGACTTGAGAATGGTCCAGGACGGACCGAAACGTCGTCGTCGTCCCTTCACCTTCTAGTGTGTGGTCTGGTCAACATCAAGTTTACTTTTAGTCCTGAATATATAATCCAGGACTAGAGTAAACTCTAGAGAGTATATATGCACCGAGAAGCTGGGTATACACCAGTGAGATACTCAAGCAAGTGTTGACTTACCTGGAACATGTCTGTAGGTGACGACTGACCAACTCTGCCTCTGGCACCTGGCGCCCTACCTCTTATACTCGCCCCCCTCCAGACGGGGGGCGTTGGGGGGTATGGCTGAGGGGTGAAGGGAATGGGGTGAGAGTCTAGGTCACCTGCAGGTGAGGGGTAGGGAAGGGCACTGGGGGGAAAGGGGGGAAGATACACTTTGGGGCAGGGCAATGTGTTTGGGGAAGGGGGTGAGGGGAAAGGACCCCTGAGGATGAGGGGGGGATGTCAGAGTATGGGTAGGAAAGGAGTACTATGAGCTGGAGGAACCTGTGAGGGGATGGTGTTGGTATACCTAGGGGCAGAGGGGAGGATACCTGGTTGATACCTGGTTGATGGGGTTCTGGGAGTTCTTCTACTCCCCAACCTGGAGAGATGGGGTTTGGGGAGGTATATCTCGTGTCTATTCATGTAAGTAGACACGAGGCCACGAGGCGAGCCAGAAGATGGCAGCGGATGCGAGAATTGTCATCTAAGACACCTCTGAAATCTTTACTCACAGATAGATACCCAAGGGGAGCATTTCGCTCGTCACATAGTTCATAGCCTTACTAACCGAGAGAAACATAAATATTCTACGATGAGGTTTTTCAAGGTGACCCAATTCACTCAAAATGACATTTTATCCTGACCTTCAGGTCTCTGATGGCATCAGAATAGTCGAAAAGTGGGAGCTTTGAGGATATAATATGACCCAGACGCTTTCAGAATATTTTACTGAAATCTCTCTCTCTCTGCCTATCATTTTTAGTTCAAGTTCTGTATAAAATGATTAGTAGTAGTAACAGTAGTAGTAATAGTAGTAGTAGAAGTAGTAGAATAAACAGTAGTAGAAGTAGTAGTTGGGAAGAAACTGGTGTACAATGAATCATTTATTAACATAAAATGAATACTGAAAGTGGAAACCAGAAGAATATTTGTTTGAATCAGCAAACCCTCTCACCACAATAGTAGTGATGATGGTGATGATAATGATGATGATGATGATAATGATGACAATGAAAAATTATGTAATTTCACTGTTTATGCTGCTTCTGTTGTTGGTATTTACACCACTTCTGCTTTAAGTTGGAACCTGTTGGAACTGGGTGATGATTTCACGAGCTCATCCACCCATCGCAGTCTGACCTGTGAGCCTACCTTACCTCCTGATTTCCTGATCAATTAAGCTATTTTGCTTCGTAAACCGCAGGGTGACATAGCCACCACAGCCAGGCTGATCCGGTAACCTTAGCAGAACCTTTATATCGACCCAACAAATCATTTTAAGCGCTTATGGTACAATAAGAGGCTGATGTATCAACAGGATCAGCTGCTGTTCTCTCCAACATCCGTCCTCCTGCTCAAGTCAAAATCTTCAGACGGAAGTCTCCAGACTTTCGACGGTTATCTACCGCCTCGAAGATAGCGATATGAGGTTTATAACCAAACTCGGAGCTCTGGGGGGGGGGGGGCTCGATAACACAGTCACACGGTGTGTGTGTGTGTGTGTGTGTGTGTGTGTACTCGCCTATTTGTGTTTGCAGGATCGAGCATTGACTCTTGGATCCCGCCTTTCTAGCCATCGGTTGTTTACAGCAATGACTCCTGTCCCATTTCCCTATCATATCTAGTTTTAAAGTTATGAATAGAGTTTGCTTTCACAACCTGTTCCTTAAGTGCATTTCATTTTCCACTACTCTCACGCTAAAGGAATACTTCCTGACATCTCTGTGACTCATCTGAGTTTCCTGTTTCCACCCATGTCCCCTCGTTCTGTTATTATTACGTGTGAACATTTCATCTGTTTATACTTTGTCAATTCCCCTGAGTATTTTATGTGTGTGTGTGTGTGTGTGTGTGTGTGTGTGTGTGTGTGTGTGTGTGTGTGTGTGTGTGTGTGTGTGTGTGTGTGTGTGTGTGTGTTTGTGTGTGTGTGTGTGTGTGTATATGTGAGTGTGTGTATATGTGAGTGTGTGTATATGTGAGTGTGTGTATATGTGAGTGTGTGTGTGTGTATGTGTATGTGTGTGTGTGTACTTACCTAATTGTACTTACCTAATTGTGCTTGCGGGGGTTGAGCTCTGGCTCTTTGGTCCCGCCTCTCAACCGTCAATCAACTGGTGTACAGATTCCTGAGCCTATTGGGCTCTATCATATCTACATTTGAAACTGTGAATGGAGTCAGCCTCCACCACATCACTTCCTAATGCATTCCATTTGCTAACTACTCTGACACTGAAAAAGTTCTTTCTAACGTCTCTGTGGCTCATTTGGGTACTCAGCTTCCACCTGTGTCCCCTTGTTCGCGTCCCACCAGTGTTGAAAAGTTCGTCCTTGTTTACCCGGTCGATTCCCCTGAGGATTTTGTAGGTTGTGATCATGTCCCCCCTTACTCTTCTGTCTTCCAGTGTCGTGAGGTGCATTTCCCGCAGCCTTTCCTCATAACTCATGCCTCTTAGTTCTGGGACTAGTCTAGTAGCATACCTTTGGACTTTTTCCAGCTTCGTCTTGTGCTTGACAAGGTACGGGCTCCATGCTGGGGCCGCATACTCCAGGATTGGTCTTACATATGTGGTGTACAAGATTCTGAATGATTCCTTACACAGGTTCCTGAACGCCGTTCTGATGTTAGCCAGCCTCGCATATGCCGCAGACGTTATTCTCTTTATGTGGGCTTCAGGAGACAGGTTTGGTGTGATATCAACTCCTAGATCTTTCTCTCTGTCTGTTTCATTAAGTACTTCATCTCCTATTCTGTATCCTGTGCCTGGCCTCCTGTTTCCACTGCCTAGTTTCATTACTTTGCATTTACTCGGGTTGAACTTCAACAGCCATTTGTTGGACCATTCACTCAGTCTATCCAGGTCATCTTGTAGCCTCCTACTATCATCCTCTGTTTCAATCCTCCTCATAATTTTTGCATCGTCGGCAAACATTGAGAGGAACGAATCTATACCCTCTGGGAGATCATTTACATATACCAGAAACAGTATAGGTCCAAGGACTGACCCCTGCGGGACTCCACTTGTGACGTCTCGCCAATCTGAGACCTCACCCCTCACACAGACTCGTTGTCTCCTGTTGCTTAGGTATTCCTCTATCCACCGGAGTACCTTCCCTCTCACTCCAGCCTGCATCTCCAACTTTCGCACTAGCCTCTTGTGTGGCACTGTATCAAAGGCTTTCTGACAATCCAAAAATATGCAGTCTGCCCACCCTTCTCTTTCTTGCCTTATTTTTGTTGCCTGGTCGTAGAATTCAAGTAACCCTGTGAGGCAGGACCTGCCATCCCTGAACCCATGTTGATGCTGTGTTACAAAGTTCCTTCGCTCCAGATGCTCCACTAGTTTTTTTCGCACAATCTTCTCCATCAGCTTGCATGGTATGCAGGTTAGGGACACTGGCCTGTAGTTCAGTGCCTCCTGTCTATCCCCTTTCTTGTATATCGGGACTACGTTAGCTGCTTTCCAAGTATCTGGCAGTTCCCCTGTTGCCAGTGATTTGTTATACACTATGGAGAGTGGTAGGCTCAGTTCTCTTGCTCCTTCCTTTAGAACCCAAGGGGAGATTCCATCTGGGCCTATAGCCTTCGTCACGTCCAACTCTAGTAAACACTTCCTTACTTCCCCACTGGTAATCTCAAACTCTTCCAGTGGTTCCTGGTTAGCTATTCCCTCACTTACCTCTGGAATTTCTCCTTGTTCTAAGGTGAAGACCTCCTGGAATTTCTTATTCAATTCCTCACACACTTCCTTGTCATTTGTAGTGAATCCTTCCTTTCTGCCTCTCTTCTCATCCTGACATATTCATTCCTGGCATTCTGGTATCTTTCTCTGCTCTCCAGTGTCCTGTTATTCCTATAGTTTCTCCATGCCCTTTTACTTTGCTGCTTAGCTAGCCTACATCTTTGATTAAACCATGGGTTTCTCATCTTCATTTCTCTGTTTTCTTTTTGGACTGGGACAAACTTGTTTGCTGCGTCCTTGCACTTGTGTGTGTGTGTGTGTGTGTGTGTGTGTGTGTGTGTGTGTGTGTGTGTGTGTGTGCGTGCGTGTGTGTGTGTGTGTGTTCGTGTGTGTGTGTGTGTGTGTGTGTGTGTGCGCGCGCGTGTGTGTGTGTGTGTGTGTGTGTGTGTGTGTGTGTGTGTGTGTGCGTGCGTGTGTGTGTGTGTGTGTGGTGTGTGTGTGTGTGTGTGTGTGTGTGTGTGTGTGTGTGTGTGTGTGTGTGTGTGTGTGTGTGTGTGTGTGTGTGCGTGTGTGTGTGTGTGTGTGTGTGTGTGTGTGTGTGCGTGCGTGCGTGCGTGTGCGTGCGTGCGTGCGTGCGTGCGTGCGTGCGTGCGTGTGTGTGTGTGCGTGTGCGTGTGTGTGTGTGTGTCTGTCTGTCTGTCTGAATATATGTCGCAGTAGTCTTTATCTGTCTGTCTGTATGTCTGTCGTCTGTGTGTCGGTCTGTCTGTCTGTCTGTCTGTCTGTCTGTCTATTTATTATTATTTATTAGTCAAACTAAATTAACACCTTTTCATTAGACAAATCCAGAAAACCCTTGTGTTTAAATGTGGTGATTTCTGTGAATACAACGTTTGTTAAATACACCTCCAACCAGCAGTTAAGATACGCCGCTCACCTCCTTCTCTCTGTGTTCCTGATGCCTTAATAATGTTGTACACTCAGCCGGCGCCGAGGGGACCTGATGGTGGTGCGATATGTACTGTCAAGTGTTTTGGCTGAAGAGTTGGGTTGGTGTTGGAGTTTAATGGCTCTTGATTCCTGTATGCTTGTGTTATGAGTGTGAGTATTCACGTAGTTGTGCTTGCGAGGGTTGAGCTCTGGTTCTTTTGGCTCAACTGTCAATCAATCAACTTATATGAGGTTGTATGTGTGTGTGAACCACACACATATATATATATATACTTCTACCACAACCACATATATACCTGTGCCACACCTTTATATACCACTGCCAGCACCCACATATTCATGCACATCCCTGCACAACACCCACATATATACATACACATCCCTGCACAACACCCACATATATACATACACATCCCTGCACAGCATCCACATATATACATACACATCCCTGCATAACACCCACATATATACATACACATCCCTGCGCAGCACCCACATATACATGCACATCCCTACACAAAAATAACGTTAAACGGGCCACATGCAGGAGTATTTCCACCACACCTACATATTCTACCACCACACCGCACACTCCACCACATCCACACACACCTTTAGCACCTCCACACCCCCCCCACACCCCCCCCACACCACAGCCACACAACCCCCACACCACACCACCACCCCCCACACCACACCCCCCACACCACAGCACCACACCACCACCCCACACCACACCCCCCACACCACAGCCACACCCCCCCACACCACACCACCACCACCACCCCACACCACCCCCCCCACACCACAGCCACACAACCCCCCACCACCCCCCACCCACACCACCACCACCACCCCAGAATACGGGTCAAGCAGGCGTAGTCTTCCGTACAATAAGACGGAGCCTAATCTTAAGAGTGTGTGGCTCAGATAACAGGATTCTTAATGGTGTCCAGTGTAGAGAAGACCAGAGACCCGGGACCCACTGGACGTCCCCGGACAGTGGGACACCCTGGCTACGGACACCACCATGCGAGGACGGTCAGTTACAATTGAATTAGAACGGCCATCAAGTTAGAGAGAACAGCTAGTTAGAGATAACAGCTAGTTAGAGATAACAGCTAGTTAGAGATAACAGTAGTTAGAGATAACAGCTAGTTAGAGATAACAGCTAGTTAGAGATAACAGCTAGTTAGAGATAACAGCTAGTTAGAGATAACAGCTAGTTAGAGATAACAGTAGTTAGAGATAACAGCTAGTTAGAGATAACAGCTAGTTAGAGATAACAGCTAGTTAGAGATAACAGCTAGTTAGAGAGAACAGCTAGTTAGAGATAACAGCTAGTTAGAGATAACAGCTAATTAGAGATAACAGTAGTTAGAGAGAACAGATAGTTAGAGATAACAGTAGTTAGAGAGAACAGATAGTTAGAGATAACAACTAGTTAGAGATAACAGCTAGATACGAAGATTACCTACAAATGAAAAGCACGTTTGATATAGATTCCTGTTGGATAAGGAAGTCAGGTAAGTCATTTTCCAGTGTAAGGAAACCATGAAGATAAGGAAGTCAACTACATAAGGAATCATGGTAGATAACACGACGGTCTATTTAAAGAGACCATCTAGGTATGGAGGTCAGCTTGTTAATGAGTCCATCTAGATAATATGGCCACTCTTTAAAATGCAATACTGAAAGGGAAACTGTGCTCTTAACAACTGGCTTCCATATGCAGACGAGGAGACACAATAACGTGCCTGAAAAATGTTGACCAAACCACACACTAGAAGGTGAAGGGACGACGACGTTTCGGTCCGTACTGAACCATTCTCAAGTCGATTGTCTCAGATTGCTGGACCATTCTCAAGTCGATTGTGTTATTATCACAATTATTATCAGCATTATCACAATCGACTTGATAATGATCCAGGACGGACCGAAACGTCGTCGTCTCTTCACTTTCTAGTGTGTGGTCTGGTCAACTGGCGTCCATGAACAGGCTGTCAGCACCTGTGAGTCTTAGTCCGCTCACAAGAGACAAAAGTTCAACCACCGACTGTTGTTTGATAGTCATAGAAGCTGTTCATTATTATCCATTGTGTGGCATTGATCCGTATCCGTCCGTATCTGTCTGTATCCGGACATCCGTCCTCTCATCTAATGCATCACTATCTGTACCCTGTGGTCCCCTCTAGCGTACAAATTACAAAATACAATGATAAGTAGCAACGTACAATTATTCACGGTTTCTATACATTGGTCGGTATAAGTCAGGTGAGTTGGTTGGGTTGGTACGTTTCTGGTTAGGTTAGTAGGTTGTATTTTGTACGTTGTGGCGAAACATGAACACAGGCTGATCTGTTGACGCTGTCATGGCCTAAGAACAAGCTGAACATTCAATATGGTTCATAGAATTTCAGAAGCCTTTATCTCATCTCAGTGTAGCAAGGATGCTGAAATATAATAATAATGATAATAGTGTTTTACTTATGCAAGAGTGCGTGCATACATACACATGATACATGAACTGTGGAGGTATACATAGGTAAGATAAGCACCGTGCATTAAGCTGCTAAAGCACAGAGCATTCTGGCCTTAGAGTGGAACAATGAGAGTTCTTCATGTTCTCAGTGTTCTTGAACCTGATACTTGCAAGGATTTGTTGTGTAGTGTAGCCTGTCATGTTGGCAACACTTAGTCAGGTGTGTAGGCTGTCATTCTGGCTACACTTAGTCAGGTGTGTAGGCTGTCATGTTGGCAACACTTAGTCAGGTGTGTAGGCTGTCATTCTGGCTACACTTAGTCAGGTGTGTAGGCTGTCATTCTGGCTACACTTAGTCAGGTGTGTAGGCTGTCATGTTGGCTACACTTAGTCAGGTGTGTAGGCTGTCATGCTGGCAACACTTAGTCAGGTGTGTAGGCTGTCATGTTGGCAACACTTAGTCAGGTGTGTAGGCTGTCATTCTGGCTACACTTAGTCAGGTGTGTAGGCTGTCATGCTGGCAACACTTAGTCAGGTGTGTAGGCTGTCATTCTGGCTACACTTAGTCAGGTGTGTAGGCTGTCATGCTGGCAACACTTAGTCAGGTGTGTAGGCTGTCATGCTGGCAACACTTAGTCAGGTGTGTAGGCTGTCATGCTGGCAACACTTAGTCAGGTGTGTAGGCTGTCATGGTCCAGTCGGCAATGTGTATGCTCTGGGACTCCAGGGATCCAAGTTCGATCCCACGGTGCAGCTTCAATATTGTCTTATAGATCAATCATGTTCTGTACCTCCAGTGTGTATATATTCTCTACTTCGGTCAATCTTTGAATTATAGACAATCGAACATCACCACATGAGGAGCACTACCCAGGCACATGACTACAGTGAACACACATGACTACGGTGAACACACATGACTACAGTGAGCACACATGACTACAGTGAACACTACGGTGTGGTGCGAGGTATCTAAGTGCCAGAGATGGATTTCTTTACTTTTATTTTTTGGGGAAAGTTTTTACAAAAGTAAAGACAGGAAATAAATTACATATATGATGTATATAGAGTGACATACATTGTATATAAATAATTACGACAGTTAAATGTTTATATGGACTTTATACAGATGCGGTCAGTCTTCCTCAGGTAAGCTGTAGGGTCATCAAGGTGGTCATGTCAAACAGGACACACACACTGGGTCTTGTGGAGTGTTTACTCTGCTGAAGTGTGACCTTCGCGTGCCTTGCGTTCCCTCTCGGCCTCGGCGAAGGCGATCTGGTCGAGGACGAACTGGGGGATGGGGTGGGGGAACTCCGGGGCCACGGGCAGCAGGTCGGACTCGGGCTGGTAGCCGTTCTCGTCAGCCACGAACTTGAGGAAAGCAATACTACCGTCCTCCAAGGGGTAGCTGTGGGAGAGAGAGAGAGTTAGCTCAAGTGTCTCGTCAGGTGTTAAGGTACATATGCATGATACAACATAGAATAATGAGACACGACGCTGGACAACTTCCTGTACTCACCTCCAGTGGCCGATGCTGTTTTCTCCGCCATTCTCGCCCAGATTACCGGACACGTGCATCTTGATGCCGTTCTCGGCCTCGAAGTCGAAGCTGTGAGCGCCGTTCGCGTCTGGGTGATGCTGCTCGATGTGCACAATACCCACGGGCTTCATGTCGGCCAGAGCCCCGGCCACCAGCACAGCCACTACCAACGTCTGAAAGACACAAACGCAAATGTAAGCCAAGACAGCGGGACGAGTTAAAACCACAAGTTCGCTCATATAACCTGTAACATTCTTGCTCGGTGTTCCAGGCCAGACATGTTTTCGCTCGAGTGTCGTATTGGAGGCTCCCGGTAACTTGATCGTCACGCAAATGTTTCTCACATTTTAAATGTAAATGTTCGCTTGCAATGCTAAATACCGTCTAATATTTCTTGAAGCCTTGTAGAAGTTAACACTATTATGTTTCAGTGTTTAAAAGGAATACATTTCAGCTCCTGGGCTCCAACTTCTGGTACAATGTTTTCCGATCGTATTATGTATTATTATGCATTTTGTTAAAGCTGTGAATGGAGTTAGCCTACTCTGCCTCCTTCTTCACTAGTTCACTCTGCTAGCTCACTGGTCCATTCTGCCTCTCCTCGACTAGTTAACTTTACTAGCTCACTATAGCCTCCACTACCTCCTCCTCCTTTAAGTCACTTCACTACACTCCAGACACCTTACACCAAGCTTGTCTTAATCTCGTAATTTGCAGCATCTCCAGAGGGCGCAGATAATATACAAGAGTATCTTACAATTTTGCAGAACTATTTGCCCGGTCTTTATCTAAACATAGTTTGAGCAAAAAATCAAATTTACTGAATTTTATGTACATAACTCAGAATCTTTATGGCATTGATGTCCGAGTATCCGGCCCTCCTGGCACCTGAATATATATGAGTCGGTATCCGGCCCTCCTGGCACCTGAATATATATGAGTCGGTATCCGGCCCTCCTGGCACCTGAGTAAACATTTCAAAGTTCCAACTCCAGTCTTGAAAATTGTTTAGACATAACTCACCAGTTTCATTTTTGTCTGAGTACTGTGAGTGAGGACTATGAGTGAGGACTGTGAGACTCTGGTAACAGGAGCCTGAGTGTCTCCTCTTATACCCAGCTCTTTCACTCCCAGGGTGAAGGTGGGTGCCAGGGGGGAGGGTTAACAGGGTGATAAGGGGAAGAAGGGGGAGGGGGATAGGCAGCCTGTTGATGAAGGGGACAAGACTGCAGGGTCGACAATGTCTGGGGGGGAAGGAGGGAGGGAGGGAGGGGGGATAGACAAAGGACGACAGCCTCGACAACACCTGGCCATCGCTTGCCTCGTCCCATTTCGAAACCAATAGCAGAAAGTATGAAGGTTAAGGCTGTTCAAGGCTGAGACGCGGCCCTCTGAGCCGCTCGGCAAAGAGTTGATGGCTGCCTCGTTATGTTGATCAGGTCATGGTTACAAGTAGGTGGTGAGGCCGGACCCTCCAGATACACTAGAAGACATTAATTTCTTCCTCTCACTTGGGTCATTATTGAGGGAACTGACCACTTTCTTAATCTCACTCTCGGCTTCCTTCACTGCCGCCTCCTACTCTAGCTCCTTTGGCTTCATATCCATTCTGCTTTCTCCTCATAGGTTCCTTTCCTTTTCTTCCTTTCTGCCTCAAGTTGGTAAATGTATTTTGAGGGGATGTTGGAGGTGGTTCACAGCTGTTGATGTGCGACCACAATACGCCATCAATAATGTATGCCATGCAAATGATAACGTGGGCAGTGAGTGTGGGGTTTTGCGTGCACCAGTAGTGAATGTACACCACAGGTGCTTAAAAAGTCACATGTACCATAACTGTCCGCCACAGTCACTACATATTTGGCACAGTTGCTAGTTGACACAGTCACAACTTGACACAGTTATTTCTTGTTATAGCCACTCAAATTCTGATTAAATATATATATATATATATATATATATATATATATATATATATATATATATATATATATATATATATATATATATATATATATATATATATATATGTCGTACCTAATAGCCAGAACGCACTTCTCAGCCTACTATTCAAGGCCCGATTTGCCTAATAAGCCAAGTTTTCATGAATTAATGTTTTTTCGTCTACCTAACCTACCTAACCTAACCTAACCTAGCTTTTTTTGGCTACCTAACCTAACCTTACCTATAAATATAGGTTAGGTTAGGTTAGGTAGGGTTGGTTAGGTTCGGTCATATATCTACGTTAATTTTAACTCCAATAAAAAAAAATTTACCTCATACATAGAGAAAAGGGTTGCTTTATCATTTCATAAGAAAAAAAACTATAGTAAATATATTAATTCAGGAAAACTTGGCTTATTAGGCAAATCGGGCCTTGAATAGTAGGCTGAGAAGTGAGTTCTGGCTACTAGGTACGACATATATATATATATATATATATATATATATATATATATATATATATATATATATATGTCGTACCTAGTAGCCAGAACGCACTTGTCAGCCTACTATGCATGGCCAAATTTGCCTAATAGGCCAAGTTTTCATGAATTAATTGTTTTTCGACTACCTAACCTAACCTAACCTAACTTTTCGGCTACCTAACCTAACCTAACCTATAAAGATAGGTTAGGTTAGGTTAGGTAGGGTTGGTTAGGTTCGGTCATATATCTACGTTAATTTAACTCCAATAAAAAAAATTGACCTCATACATTATAAAATGGGTAGCTTTATCATTTCATAAGAAAAAAATAGAGAAAATATATTAATTAAGGAAAACTTGGCTTATTAGGCAAATTTGGTCTTGCATAGTAGGCTGAGAAGTGCGTTCTGGCTACTAGGTACGACATATATATATATATATATATATATATATATATATATATATATATATATATATATATATATAATATATATATATATAATTCGTCATTGATTGTACTTTTATACAAAATACAATCGATGACGAATTTTTACAACTATTTGAAAAATGGATATATTATTAAGATGGGTTAGTTTTATCGCAGCCCGGCCTCAGGTTGTGTTCATTCCATCCAGCTCCCGACCCCACGGACGCAGACATCAATTTTAACATTCAAGATATGAATTCTAGGAAATATAAATTAATATTATTATATATATTTGCATATTTAAGCGTAGGTTAGGTTAGGTGTTTATATTCTGTTGGTAATTATTTATATTTGGTGTACCTGGATGAGGCATTTACAGTGTTGCAATTGGCACAAAGACATCAGTAAACTACACTGGCTGCCTCACACCCTACACTGGCTGCCTCACACCCTACACTGGCTGCTCCACGCCCTACACTGGCTGCTCCACACCCTACACTGGCTGCCTCACCCTCTACTGGCTGCCTCACACCCTACACTGGCTGCTCCACGCCCTACACTGGCTGCTCCACACCCTACACTGGCTGCCTCACCCTCTACTGGCTGCCTCACACCCTACACTGGCTGCTCCACACCCTACACTGGCTGCTCCACACCCTACACTGGCTGCCTCACACCCTACACTGGCTGCTCCACGCCCTACACTGGCTGCCTCACCCTCTACTGGCTGCCTCACACCCTCTACTGGCTGCTCCACACCCTACACTGGCTGCTCCACACCCTACACTGGCTGCCTCACACCCTACACTGGCTGCTCCACGCCCTACACTGGCTGCCTCACCCTCTACTGGCTGCTCCACACCCTACACTGGCTGCTCCACGCCCTACACTGGCTGCCTCACCCTCTACTGGCTGCTCCACACCCTACACTGGCTGCTCCATACCCTACACTGGCTGCCTCACACCCTACACTGGCTGCTCACACCCTACACTGGCTGCCTCACACCCTACACTGGCTGCCTCACCCTCTACTGGCTGCTCCACACCCTACACTGGCTGCCTCACCCTCTACTGGCTGCTCCAAACCCTACACTGGCTGCCTCACACCCTACACTGGCTGCTCCACACCCTACACTGGCTGCTCCACACCCTACACTGGCTGCCTCACCCTCTACTGGCTGCTCCACACCCTACACTGGCTGCTCCACGCCCTACACTGGCTGCCTCACCCTCTACTGGCTGCTCCACACCCTACACTGGCTGCTCCACACCCTACACTGGCTGCTCCACACCCTACACTGGCTGCTCCACACCCTACACTGGCTGCCTCACCCTCTACTGGCTGCTCCACACCCTACACTGGCTGCTCCACACCCTACACTGGCTGCTCCACACCCTACACTGGCTGCTCCACACCCTACACTGGCTGCTCCACACCCTACACTGGCTGCCTCACCCTCTACTGGCTGCTCCACACCCTACACTGGCTGCCTCACACCCTACACTGGCTGCTCCACACCCTACACTGGCTGCTCCACACCCTACACTGGCTGCTCCACACCCTACACTGGCTGCTCCACACCCTACACTGGCTGCCTCACACCCTACACTGGCTGCTCCACACCCTAGACGGGCTGCCTCACACCCTATACTGGCTGCTCCACACCCTACACTGGCTGCTCCACACCCTACACTGACTGCTACACACCCTAGGCTGGCTGCCTCACCCTCTACTGGCTGCTCCATACCCTACACTGGCTGCCTCACACCCTACACTGGCTGCTCCACACCCTATACTGGCTGCTCCACACCCTACACTGACTGCTACACACCCTACACTGGCTGCTCCACACCCTACACTGACTTCTACACACCCTACACTGGCTGCTCCACACCCTACACTGACTTCTACACACCCTACACTGACTTCTACACACCCTACACTGGCTGCTCCACACCCTACACTGACTTCTACACACCCTACACTGGCTGCTCCACACCCTAGACTGGCTACTTCACCCTACACTGGCTGCTCTACACCCTACACTGTGGGATACGATAGAGAGCAAGAACGGTGCCCGGCAACTGAGTACACCCCAACCACAGTTGCAGCCCCGCTCCTGTGCCAGATTAGTCCACTACGGGCTCACCATAGCCCGTGCTACTTGCAACTTTTTGTTCCCAGTAGCTGAATTTAAAACAACAACATCCAACAACTTGGACCCAGATCATCTAAGAGGTTGGGAGGTACTCAGACCAATCCAACGCCACTTACTGCATAGCAGCGATGTCTCCCAGCCAACCCGGTTCGAACAAAATTCGTCAGTGAAGCACTTGTTCGGGAACTGTTCGAACGTCATCAGTTGTGAGTCGCGTGTAAACCATTTTTCGTTCATAAACAGCGGGGGGTTTGGCGGGTGGATGGAATCACTTTTGGGTCTTTGTTTGGAGGATGGGCTGGTGGACGGGCTGGTGGACGGACTGGAGGACGGGCTGGTGGACGGGCTGGAGGACGGACTGGAGGACGGACTGGTGGACGGGCTGGTGGACGGGCTGGAGGACGGACTGGAGGACGGACTGGAGGACGGACTGGAGGACGGGCTGGTGGACGGACTGGTGGACGGGCTGGAGGACGGACTGGTGGACGGACTGGTGGACGGACTGGTGGACGGGCTGGAGGACGGACTGGAGGACGGACTGGAGGACGGACTGGAGGACGGGCTGGTGGACGGACTGGTGGACGGGCTGGAGGACGGACTGGAGGACGGGCTGGTGGACGGACTGGAGGACGGACTGGAGGACGGACTGGAGGACAGGCTGCTCCCGACAGCCACACAACTGTTGCATGTTCGGACACTCACTGAACCGCCTCCTCCAAGTCTCCAGTCCTCGGTACTGTCTGAAACAAGGATAAACTATCTGCTTTACAAAGCACTTACCTGTCCAAATACCAGATCTGTGCCTATTATCTCGTAAAGTGTTTAATATATAATGGCTGAGCCGTCTTGATCGAGGTGTGAGGTCTAGAATTTATCTTTGATAGTATGTCGGTTCTGGTGTCACGCTGCCTAGGTGTGGTCAGCCCATGTCACGCCCCAGAGTGTGTCGACAGCCGCCTCTACACACACACACACGCCCACAAGATTACATCTCGGGCTTACACGGACCTCGACCCCTTCTTCTCTAAGTCGCTTATATCTTAAGTCATAACACTTCCCCCTTTAGTTTGGTCTTGGA